CCTCTCCACCCCCACTCCCACCCCCTGGCACTAATGCCTTCGTTGCAGCTTGGACTTCTTCCTTCATACCATTGATTCTTGATCATACACTACTTCTTGAAATGGCTGGATGTTGAGCAGTTCTTTTAGGTCCGATGGTTCTGTATATTCCTTCCAACTTATGTGAATGTTTGCTATGTCATTAATATTTTCCTTATCCAGAAAAGATAAACACAAAACACTGCCAACAAGTCAATTCTGGCACATAGTGACCTTATATAGGGTTTGTGAAGCTGTAAATCTTCACAGGAGCAGGATGGTTTCAGCTTTGTCCAGCTGAGTGGCAGGTGGGTTTGAACTATCACCTACTTTAGTAGGAGTTCAGGGCTTATCTGACGGCACCATCAATACTGCAACTTGAGGCTTGAATTTTTTCTTGTTATTTCAGCTTAAGATAGACTGATTATGTGCTTCCTCTTTGGCTTTCTTTTTTTTTTTAACATTTTATTAGGGGCTCATACAGCTGTTATCCCAATCCATACACACATCAATTGTGTAAAGCACATTTGTACATCGTTTCTCAAAACATTTTCTCTCCACTTAAACCCCCGACATTAGGTCCTCATTTTTCCCCTCCCTCTCCGCTCCCCCCTCCCTCATGAGCCCTTGATAGTTTATAAATGGGTATTTTGTATTATCTTGCCCTGTCCAACGTCTCCCTTCACCCACTTTTCGGTTGTCTGCCCCCCAGGGAGGAGGTCACACACAGTTCCATGTAATCGGTTCCCTCTTTCCTACCCATTCTCCCTTTACCCTCCCTGTTTTGCCACTCACACCACTGGTCCTATAAGGCTCATCCGTCCTGGATTCCCTGTATTTCCAGTTCCTATCTGTACCAGTGTACCTCCTCTGGTCTAGCCAGACTTGCAAGATCGAATTCGAGTCATGGTAGTGGGAGCGGGGAGGAAACCTTTAGGAACTAGAGGAAAGTTGTATTTCTCATCATTGTTACATTGCACCCTGACTGGCTCATCTCCTCCCCTAGACTCCTCTGCAAGGGGATCTCCAGTGGCCTACTAATGGACTTTGGATCTCCACTCCGCACTCCCCGCCTCATTCACTATGGTAAGATTTTTTGTTCTGATTATGCCTTACACCTGATCCCTTTGACACCTTGTGGTTGCATAGGCTGGTGTGCTTCTTCCATGTGGGCTTTGTTGCTTCTGGGCTTGATGGCCGCTTGATTACCTTCATGGCTTTCTATTTTTGAGGTTTTTGCACATTTCATTTGATGATACTGTCTTCTTGAGCTGCTATTTCTTCTATATGTTGTAGTTACTCTGTGGTGACGAACACGTTTTAGAGCTTCTTGACATCCACTTTGGCCTTTTCTTTCTTTCTTGTCTGACTAATGATCGTGTGCGTTCTGCATAGATGATCTTCTTGATATTCAGTTCTTGCATCATTAATGTTGAATGCATAAACCCATTATTGAGGTGTTCTCTGAATTCAGGCGGAATATACTTAAGATTGTATTTTGGCTCTTGTGGACTTGTTTTAATTTTCTTCAGCTTAGACTTGGACTTATATATGAGCAATTAATGGTGCATTCCACAATTGGCCCCTGGCTGTGTTTTTGCCGATGACATTGAGCTTCTTCGTGGTCTCTTCCCACAGATGGAGTCAGTTTGATTCCTGTGCATTCCGCCTGGTGAGGTCCATGTGTTTAGTAGCCTTTTATGTTGTTGAAAAATGGTATTTGCAGTGAAGAAGTTATTGCTCTTGAAGAACTCTTCTCAAGTGATCTCCAGCTTCATTGATGTCATCAAGGTCATATTGTCCCACCTCCTGATCCTTCCTTTTTGGTTCCAGCGTTCATATGTCAATCACCAATAATCATTATGCATCCTGATAGCATGTTTCATCAGTTTTAGACGGGAGAAGTTGGTAGAAGAATTCAATTTCTTCATCATTGGCTTTAGTGGTTGGTTTGTAAATTTGATTGATAGTTGTGTTAACTGATTTTCTTTGTAGGTCTAGAGACATTATATGATTGTAGATAGCTTCGTAGTTCAAGGTAAACCTTGTTCTACTACGAATGTGATACCATTCCCTTTTGTCTTTCTTGACATAGTAAATCATAGGACTCTCAAACTCTAAATGACGAATCCTAGTCCTTTTCAGGTCAGTGATACTTAGCACAGTGATCTTTTCTTCATTCCATTTCATTTTGGGTGGCTTCCAATTTTCCTAGATTCATACTTTGTACATGCCACATTCCAATTATTAACGGGCATCTGCAGCTGATTTTTCTCATTTTGTCTCATGTCCCATCAGCAGATGAAGGTCTCAAAACCTAGGCTCCATCCGCATCGTTATGACAGACTCTACTTTTAGAAGGCAGCTCCTTCTTCAGTCATATTTTGGGTACCTTCCACCTGAGGAGATGCCTTGGTGGTGTAGTGGTTATGCGTTGGGCTCTGATCGGCAAGGTCAGCAATTCGAAATGACCAGCCATTCCACAGGGTAAAGATGAGGCTTCCCACTCTCCTAAACAGTTATCATTTCTGAAACTCACCAGGGCGTTTCTATCCTGCCCTATAGGGTCGATATGAGTTGACATCAACTCAATGGCTTTGAGTTTGGTTTGTGGTTCAAGCATCGGGGTTCACCTTCTAGCACTCTATCTGATAATGTGGTGTTGTGACTCACAAGATATTCAGTGACTGATTCCCAAGAAGTGGACAGCCGATGCCTTCTTCGTCTGGAAGCACCGCCGGAACTGTACACCAGGAGTGACCCTGCTGGTATTTGAAACCGGTGGCACAGCTTCCAGCATCACAGCAATACCCAAGCCCCCACAGTTAGAGACAAGGGCACAGAGCAGCCATGCTCTGGGAAAGGGCGTGTTTCGTGATTTGGACTGTGTGCAAACACAATGCTGTGGTCTGGTCCTGCTTCTTCGTTCAGCCTCTTGCACAAGCTCCCTGCACTCACAGTGATCAGCCGTGTGCCGCAGCGTTTCACTTTCCTGCTTGATCCTTCATCCGTGCCCAAGTCGGAGACCAACCCTTCTGTTCAGCCTTGGAGCGTTCAGCAGAGCCGGTCTCAAGCAGCTTGGAGAAATCTGTGTTTGCTCTGCAGGGTTGCCGTGATGGTGGGGTGTGACACGCCTAACGAACTCTGGAACCTCGGTGTTGGTTGGTAGCCATTGTCTCACTTCCAGATCAACACTTCTCCTTTGTCTCTCGCTTGCTATCCCCAGCAGTGGTTTTGCTGCATTTCAGGCCCATGATGCACTTCACAATATTTTCAAAAGAAAATTAAACAGAGGGAAACTGCTCCAGTAGTCAGGCCACATGTGATACATGAGATTGGCTGCTGCTGCTTATGAGTGAAAACACACACACTGCTAGGCAGTAAAATGTTTAGCTAGAAAGCATTGTAGAGAATATGCATAAACCAGTGACTTAGGTTTTTTTTTTATGACTATCAAGACATATGAACTGTAGGTTATTTATGCACAGTACCATTGTACACCTGGCAGCGCAATCACTTTCTCTACACACAAGACCTGGGAGACATAAGATGTGTTCGGGAAGCCTTTCCATTCGCTAAGTCCTCTTCTTCAGGAAGCATTGAATTGCTAGCCCACCTGCCACTCTGAGGAACAAGAAGAGGCTAACTGCTACCCCCCCACCCCCCCTCGCCAAAGATTTACAACCTCAGAAGTCCTACAAGGGTCACTATGAGTTGGTATCGACTCGCTGGCAGTGTGTTTGGGTTTCATTTGAACCGTTTGGTCTCATGAATGTATATGCAGTCACATGTTGCCTACTTGGATGTTATGAAATTAAAAGCTATGGGGATTTTCCCAGGAAGTTTTAAAGCCCTGCACACACACATTTTTTGCCTCATTGAATCTGGGAGGTTGGGCTCAGCGTTTGGAGAGGCATTGCTCGTGAAGAGGAGTGCCTGGTTCCTGAACGGTCACCGTGAACCAGGAGTGTGGCCAAATGGAATGTGGCACTACATCCCCTCACCTGTAGCTTTCTGTCGGGTGTGCCACAGTCTCCATCAGGCCCAGCAGTTGGCTAGGCTGAGCCTGCTTGGTGAAGCCGGTCCATTCTAGCTTGTTCCGAGGCCCGGTAAGTGAGTTCCGCAGGGGTGACAGGCTCCACTCACTAGCACCAGGGTGGCAAGGTAGGCACTGTTCTGTATCACCTTGTCACCAAGCGTTTGTTTTCTACCCAGACTCGGTTACTGGAAGTCCAGCGACAGCCGGTGTTTAGGCTTGTGCTGGTGAATGTGTACTGACCGGCTCTCTGGTAGTAGGGGCGTTGGGGGTGTGTGTGTGTGTAGGGCATCAGCCCTGATTTGGTAGTGGTTGTTCATTTCCATGGTCAGTATTCCCACCATGGCTAATTGTGAAGGGTCAGTGAAGCATAGTAACCAAACTAAGCCCACTGCCATCTCTTAGATTCGGACTCACTGTGACCCCAGTCGATTCTGACACAAGTCTTGACAGGAGCAGAGGGCCCTTTCTCTGTCCGTCAGAGCAGCTGGTGGGTTTGAACTGTGGACCACGCAGGTTAGCAGACCACTTATCCCACAGTGCCACCGGGGCACGCCATTCTGTACTATTCCTACCATCAATGAAAACAAACCCACTTCCAAAGAGTTCTTTCACGCCTAGTGACCATAGAGACAGGCAACGAAAGCAAGGGCGAGGAGGAAGTAGCTCTTCAGGCACTGCCAGTTACAGTGACTCCACGTGGGTCAAAGGTGCGCAGTGTGCCAGAGGATGTTCAGTTGTTGGGTTTTCAGAAGGAGATTGCCAGGCCTTTCTTCCAAAGTACCTCTTGGTTGACTGGCAAACGAGTGCATCACTACCTAAGGACTCCCTTCTTACAAATGTTCAGCATAATGTTCTGGCTTGGGGATATGTGGACTCAACAGGGCTTGTGAATACCACCCCATGGCTTGTTCATCGGGGTTGAATGTGGACAGGGCTCACTTACCGGCTACGGATAAGGTCTTTTTTCAGATTTATGATGTCCTTATTCATATACTTGATGCTCTTCATTGGTTTGTCTTTGATCTAATGGAAAGTCAAGAAATGAGAGGAAAAAGAAAATATTACTCTACACGCCTGTTACTTCTGAGCTGCGCATAATTTCCAGGAGCTCATGTGTCCATCTGGAATGACTGACTGAGGGACGACGAGAGATCGTGGGCAGCATGGGGTCCAGGGCCTCTCCGCAGAGAGGCCGTGCTAGATGGAGGGCTGAGCAAGGGTACTGGACTCAGGCAGACAAATGAGATTTGATCATGGGTCTGCCCTGGTTCCAGTTGTGTGACTTTGGCAAAGTACTCAACCTCTCTGTGCCCATTTAATGTAGAGTAGAGAAACGACCCCTATCTTGTCAAGAAGACTGAGTTGTAGAATCCTGACACAGTGGGCCTTTGATCAGTGGAAACGGTCATTATTAGCAAGGAACCCTGGTGGTTTCAAGTAAATGTTGGACTGCTGTCCACAAGGTGGAGGGTTTCAACCTACCTGTTGCTCTTTAGGAGGAAGGTAAGGCTATATGCTTCAGTAAAGACTTACAGCCTCCAAAACTCTATACAAGATCATTTTGAGTTTGAATCTACTCAGTGGCAGTGGGGACTTTATTATTAGCAAGGTCTGGTGCTGAAATAGTTTGATCCCACTCACCATTCTGCGGGAGAAAGGCTGGTGATCTGCTTCTGCAAAGATGACAATCTTAGTGACATTGTGGGCTGTTTTACTGTGTCCTGTAGCGTTATTGTGAAGCAGAATGCACTCCACAGCGCCAGACTTGCTTATTATTATTAACATTATACTTTGAGGCAAACAAGGGATTAAGCCTTGATAATTACGGATATCCACCCTGGGTCAGTCAGCTTATTGTACCTTGGGGGCCTGTGTGTTTCTGTGATGCTAGAAGCTATGCCACCAATATTTCAACTACTCGCAGGACCTCCCACTGTGGGCAGGTTTGGGCAGAGCTTTCAGACTAAGACAGACTAGGAAGAGGGAAGCAGCTTCCTGCTTCTCAATCTGAGCCCAATTGGAAATGTTATAAATATCAATAGAGCACAATCTAATAGCGGGCCAGAAGATGACCACCTCAGGTTGGAAGGCACTCAAAATACAACTGGGAAAGAAAGAGCTGCCTCCGTAAAGAAGTCGACCTTTGTAATATGGAAGTAAAGATGCTTCATTCGCTGATGAGGCATGACTCAAAACGAGACCAGACAGCTGCAAACATCCATGGGTAAGTGGAATATGGAATGTACGAAGTGTAAATCCAGGAAAATTGTAAGTCATGGAAAATGAACTACAAGGCATAAAGATCTATATCCGAGGCATTACGGAGCTGGAATGGACTGGTATTGGCCATTTTGAATCACTCAGTGTGTGATCTACTATGCCTGGAATGGCAAATTGAAGCTGCTCAGTCCACTATCCATCGTCCAAAGGAATATTTCAGGATCTGTCTTGAAATACAATACCCACACACTTACAAGGAAGAGCAGTTAGTATGACTATTAATGAACCAACTTCTAAAATCAAAGCTGAAGAAATCACTATGAACTTCTGCAGTATGAAATCGATCAAACATCAAGGTGCATTGATAATGACTGGTGATTGGCATGCATACGATAGAAACAAAGAAAGGGCCAGCAGCTGAGAAATAATAGCCTTGCTGATAGAAACGACCCTGGAGATTCCTTGATAGAATATTGCAAGACCATTGA